CCATTGGGATGCCCACGCTTCTGTGAGGCGACGTGACATCTCATCCTTCTGTCCGACTGCACATTGGACAAAAACTAGACCAGGGAGCAGCTGTTTTGTGAAGCAGCAAAACCAGCTCTGCTTGCACTGGCCAGATCCCAAATAGGAGGGACCATGGCCCAAGGTCATAGCCAAGGTGTGCCATTCCGATCCTACCCTCCTCAAGAGACGCCACTCATCAGTCTGAAAACGCAAGACGGCCTGCGCAGTAGCAAGAGGAATGAAAAGCTTGACTTAAGCTGTAAAAACAGACAGCAAAACCAATTTCCCCTCCTGGCCTCCACTCCTTTGTGTTCGAAGTGGTAATCCCCTGGCTTCACGCCTGTCTTGGCATTCGGAACTAGCTCCAGACAGAAGCCAGAATCCGTCAGGGGAGCCAGCGCTTCTGGCAGCGTTCGACCACCGGGCTGGAGACAGAAGCCTTCAGGAATCCCCTAAATCCTAAACCCTATAAACCCTTAAAGCCCTAAACCCCTAAACCCTAAATCTTAAACCCTATAATCCCTTAAAACCTTAAGCCCCTAAACCCTAAATCTTAAACCCTATAAACCCTTAAAACCCTAAACCCCTAAACCCTAAATCTTAAACCCTATAAACCCTTAAAACCCTAAACCCCTAGACCCTAGACTAGGTTCCTGGACAAGAACCCAAAATTTCGGACCAGGGCTTCCCGTGCTCGGACTTTGGAACTTTGCGGCTGTGGGGTATGATATGCCCGGAACCCTACCTCTAACCGAAAAGACCACGCCTGCTTGATTAAGGAACTATATACATATACAGATATATATATATACATATATATACATATATATATATAGAAACCATAATACGCAGCCCTAGAAGAGTAGACCTTTTCAGCTACAGGTAAGCCCGAACCCCAAAGCCACTGCTCTAACTGGAAAGGGAACTCTACGAGCTGTTGTTACTACATAATACAGGGGTAATAATAATTGGAATAGGGATTGGGGCATATTTATACCTCCCCCAAAATTTTTATGTCGGCATTTTTTCTCAAACCAAGCTGCTTATTTTTAAAGACCCCTTGAGCAGGGTCGCCTACAGAGCTCTTGGGATTCTTGCTTAAATTAGTGGGGGCCTCCTCTGGGGGTTTAGGGTTTAGGGCTTGGGGTAGGCTCAGGCTGTTACATTCTAAACCCTAGACCCCTAATCCCTAATCCCATTAACCCCGAACCGTCACACAAACAACTTCAAGACGGACAGACGTCTGGCCGTTTTATGTCCCGTCAAATTAGGATCTGTAGGGGATCCTCATGCCGGTTGGTAGCTCTTGAGGTTTAGGGCTTGGGTTGAGGGTTTGGGGAACCTTAGGGAGCTTTGAATTTAGGGTTCATAGGGTTTAGGGTTTAAGGGCTTAGGATTTGGGGTTTAGGTGGATTTAGGGTGAGGTTCTACGACGTCGCCATTACGGCGTCTAGGGCCTGCGGTCGAGAACTCTAACGGAGGGATCCCTAGCAAAAGGACCCTGGAAAACCCCAGAGCCGGGAGGTGATGCAATCCCTTTAATAGAGGGGCCTTAGTACTTAGAATGGGGTTTTGGGCTTCTTTATGGTGCAATGACAACAAGGAACCCTGAGCAAAAATATAGGTAATCACACAAGCTTCTATGTTATTGCGAATGACGAAACGAATCCCGCGGCCACATGGCTCAAGGAGTGCTCAGCGCATGTGATACTAAGGCTTCGTGCTTACATAGACCCTAGAGACCCCCAACCCCGAACGCCCCTAATTCACAAAACACGACAGCCTACATCACATGCTTAGTTACTCTCCAAAGAGCCGAGGCCCTTCAAAGCCCTACGCCTGAACCCTCAAGCTTGAAAGCCAAAGCCCTGACTGCTATACCCCAACCCTGCCTGTACCCGAAAGACCTCCTACGTTTTTCGCGTTCCTTATGATGGTTTCCCTTGTCTTCCTCAATACGGCAGGGTTTTTGGGCCACAGGACCCTGAACCCTAAAGCCTCAACAACCTAAACAGTAGACCCGGAACCCTCATCCCTAAACAGTCAACCCTAAAACCCAAAACAGTAAACCGTACAGTACACCCTAAACCCGAAACTCTAAACCCTAAACCCTAAACCCTCAACCCTGGAGTCCTAGAGTCCTAGGGGCTGAAGTGGGTCCTTCAAGCGCTGCTCCAGGTAGCCCTCGGACGCCTGGACGATCCAGCCTCAGCCAACCCGACGCTCGTCCCGGACTCTGACACAGGGGTCCGAAAAAGGAGTCTGTCCCTACCATATGGATACATACATACACACATATACATATACACACATCTTCGGAGTGGCGGATGTTCGTTTTAGTTCTCACCGCAACCTTGAATGCTGAATGGGCTTGAACCCTACACTCTTGAACACGAAAGTCTTAACCTCACAAACCTCTGACTGAAGTCCTTGTACCGAACCCTTGTACTCAGTTTTGCGTGTAGTCCGAAACCTTAAACCCTAAACCCGAAACCCTAAAAATACCCCCAAGCCTCAATCCCTAAACTTCAACCGCCCAAAACCCCTAAACCCGAAATCCTTATAACACCCCCAAGCCTTAATCCCGAAACCCTAAGGGGTTTTAGGGGTTTAGGGTTTAGGGTTAAACCCCTCAACATTAAACCCTGCAACGCCCTTCGTCCGCAGCCGGTGATCCCCCCCGGTATTCCCATAAGGATACCTTTAAGGGGTTCCTTTTGAGCGCTCCTTGGGGTCTCCTCAAAGGGTTCCCTTGAAGGGTTCCTTTAGGGGGTACCTTAGGGTCTCCTTAAAGGGTTCCGTTTAAGGGTTCCTTTGAAGGGTTCCTTCAAGGGGTACCTTAGAGTCTCCTTAAAGGGCTCCTTAAAGGGTTCCCTTGAAGGGCTCCTTTAATGGGGTACCTTAGGGTCTCCTTAAAGGGTCTCCTTAAAGGGTTCCCTTTAAGGGTTCCTTTACGGGGTACCTTAGGGTCTCCTTAAAGGGTCTCCTTAAAAGGGTTCCCTTTAAGGGTTCCTTTACGGGGTACCTAGTGGGTTGCTGTCGATTCACTGTGAAGGCTCCCATCAGCGCACCCTCATTCTGGGAAGTAGGGTTTATAGCTGGCGGGATCAGTCCCCTAAGGGGGGTTATAACTTACACAACTTATATAGCTGGGGTGATCAGTCCCCTAAGGGGGGTTGTAACTTATATAACCCTAAACCCTAAACCCTAAACCTTACTTAGGAAGCCCCTTTGACCTGTAAGCAGCAGCTCCAGGCTCCAGGGCTGTGAGGGAGACAGGGGTCGCTTCTCGCGACCATGTGCTTGGGTTTGGGGCCTAGGGTTGGGGGTTTCGGGTTTAGGGTTCAGGGTTTAGGGTTGAGGGTTTAGGGTTCAGGGTTTAAGGTTTAGGGTTAAGGGTTGAGGGTTCACGGCTTCGGGCTTCGGGTTTACTAAACCCTAAATCCTGGGTTTAGGTTCAGGGGCAGCAGCATCTTCTGCAAGCTCTGTCTGGCTTCTACATCAAAGGCAGTCGGGCGCGTCTTCTCAAAGACCTAACATGAGAGCTTCTTAGCATCACGGGTAAATTAACTTACTGATTAAGGGTCCTGATCGTAAGGATGCTGATGTCTCGCCTTTGTTTTGTCATTACTTACCCTAAACCCTAAACCCGAAACCTTAAACCCTAAACCCTAAACCCAACACCCTGAACCCTAACCCTAAATCAAAAGCCAGAGCACGCGACATGCTTTTTGACACCTCCGCACAGTCTTGTCTTGAGTGAATAAGAGCATCCTTTCCATGCCGCCCACCCGAACCAAACACCCCTATCGTAGCCCGTATAGTAACTCGAATTGTCGCCCTCATGCAACCCTAAACGCTAAACCCTGAACCCTAAACTGAGGTCTCTTTGGCTTGAAGGTAGTACCTTGACACGGGTACTAACAATACAGGGGCTTGCATAATTCCAACAAGGTTTTGGGCTATGTTAGGGGCTATGTTAGAGTATGCTCATGTCTTGGAACCCAACTACTTCATATTGAGCCGTTGCTGTCATTGTCATCACCAACACTGTTGAGACCACGGTTATACAAACTGCTACAGTGAGAACAAAACCAAGAGGAGTAGTAGTAGCAGTAGCAGTAGCAGTAGCAGCAGCAGCAGCATTAGTAGGATTTTTTGCTAATGACTAGCACTATTGCAACCGGTTCTGACATGATCATATCCATCCCACTCTTGCCGTTTCGGACAGAACTCCATGGTCTAAGGTTCGGGTTTTTGACAAGTGGGTTTAGGGCCAAAGGTTTAGGAGCTAAGGGCTTGGGGTTTAGGAATGAAAAGTTTATGAAGTCTAGGGCTTACGGATTGTATAGGGGTCTAGAGTCTAAAAGTTTGGAGTTTGGGCAATTAGGGGTGCGTGGCTGTGCTTATGAGTTTCGGATCAGGGTACCGTAAACCCGGAACGGTGCACCTGCAAATCCCAGCATGGAGACGTCTCGTTACTTCACAGGCATAGCAATCCCATGCTCTCACCAGCCTGAGTGACGGGCTTGCGAGTTAGGGGTGCCCGTTTCAAAAGTCATCATAATAATAAGGATCCGATTTTGGGGTCTATATTTATTGGAATCAGCCCTAACTTCGCTGTCCAGTACCCGCAGGAAGCTAAAAGTTAACCTTTCGGAATACATGGGAGTTATAATTTTACTACCCCAAAATATTCAGAAGATACCTACTCGACTGCTAAGGGTTAAGGGTTTGGGGTTTAGGGTAAACCAGTTAACCGAGTTTGGGATATCGAAAATCAGGGTGTTTCGCTTCGGGCATGCCACTTCCGGCGTGGTTTCGAACGTCTAACATGGGGCTTTATGTTTTACTCCAGGGGCCTAAATCACACAATAGGAGCTTGGTGCAAGTCTTAACTAGAGCTATACAAAAGCTCTTGGCTGTTTCAGTGATGTTTGGACATCCCACTTTCTAAACTACAAACCCTAAGCCCTAGACTCGTCTTGTCGGGGGGTCCTTGCTCATCTCTGGAAAGAAGCTTGGCTTTTATGTCCTGGTTGGGGTTAAGAAGAAGCCCTTCCAAGCCGGACAACTTGGCTCAGGACAGTCAATTGGGGTTTAGGCTTTAGGGTTTAGGGTTTTAGGGTTAAGGGTGTAGGGTTTAGGGATGACGGTTTAGGGATTAGATAGGACCCAGACCCTAAAATCCTTACAACCTGAAACTTTTGGAATCCTAAGTACTAATGACTAAGCCCAAAACCCTCCGCAAACCAGACAAGGTGCCCATGCCACCCATGCCGCCCATGGGGCCCATGGGCGGGTAGCCACCTGAGGATTCGGGGCGGTGCCAGCCAGGATTGATAATGACATCAAACTCATCCTTGTCATAACAAGCGAATTACAATAAACATGAAGAGCACTCATGACACTATAGTAGTTGTTTATGGTAAGGGTGTGGGGTTTAGGGTTTAGAGCGATATCGTAAGCTGGGCTAGTAAGCCGGCTATACAGATCATCACAGAAGCTATAGAGGATACACAGCAGACCTAAGGCCTCAGGCATCCAGGATCTCAGTCCCAATCCCTAAACCCTAACCCCTAAACACTAAACCCTAATAAGCCTAACCCCCAAAACTGAAGGCCAGACTCAGAAAGCTCACAGCGTAGAGCTGCTGTGGCTGAACTCTAAAAGCCACTACCTGCTTGGGATTCCTGAAGCGGCTCCGTATCAGGATTTTCCGGAGATGTCTTGCCAAGGGTAGGTCTAGGGTGGTATTTCGTTTTTGTGTTTTTGTGGGTGGGTGGGAGGGGGGGGTTGAAACTTTATAGGTCTTAAGAACCCTTTAGAAGCCCTGAACTCAGAGCCCTGTTCAACCAGGAGATCCCAGCCCACACCCTAAACCCTAAAGCCCTAAGACCACCTGGCCTTTGCCGCCGCCCCAAGCGGGAGGCCCGCCAAAGTTCGTGGGCGCCCAGTCGCCCGCCCAGTCGCCCCAGCCAGCGCCTTTGCCTGGAGGCCGGGTCCATGTTTGGATACGGGTTCTCGTAGGGTTTAGGTTTCAAGGTTTTGGAGATTTAATGCTTCGGGCTTGAGGTTTAGGGTTCAGGGTTCAGCGTTTAAGGTTTAATGCTTTGGGTTTGAGGTTTAGGATTTATGGTGTAAGGTTTAGTGCTCATGGTTTAAGGTTTAGAGTTTAGTGCTTAGGGTTTGAGGTTTAGGGTTTAAGGGTTTTGCGATGGACTTGGGCAATGCCCAGCGTACATGATAGTTGCACACGCATGAAACTCAAGAACATGAGCCCTAAGCCCTAAAGCCCCTGCTATAGTACCGTTACAGGAACCCTAAACCCTAAACCCATACCAATGAGGGATGATCTGAATTCTTGTTTAAGGCCCCGCACCATGAGAGCCCAACGAAAGTATTGAATTCTTGCAATTGCTGCCATTGTTTCGGATGCTTTCAACCTCATGTTCTACCAGGACAGTGCCTTTTTGTGCCGTTTAGGGTCAGAGGGTCTAGGTAGGACATATTTCCGGGCGAATCCCACTTAATCCCTGAGCCCTGAACCCTCGCACACTTGGAGGACCAGCCAGTGAGAGTTCTGGAAACTGATTGCAGGGACGGCTTTTAACTGAACTCCCGACATACCCGCAAACCGGTATCGGTTTAGGGTTTAGGGTTTAGGATTTAGCCCGAAATCCCAGACAAACGAACCAACCAGGTTCTAACCCGAAGGGTCCAAAGGACCTAATAATCATATACTTGGGTTACGGATAGTAGTTTTGTAGGTTAGTATTCAGAAGATTATATGATTATTAGGTACTTGGACCCTTAGGGCAAGTCTTGAAAGCCTGAAAACAAATCCTCTTGCAAACCCATAACTCTGAACCCTACTTCCTTCGGAAGCCTGTTTAGGACCAGGGACTTGGCTACAGCCCTTGCTTCCAGCAAAAGCCTGAACCCTGAATTCCCCAACCATAAATCCGACATCATAAACCTTACTTGTTCAATATCCTCGGGACTTAGAAATCAAGATTTGGGATAATTTTACCCCCAAATTCAAAGGGGTTAAAGGATACCTACTCTACGACTGCTAGCAAGAAACTGAATCTATGTCCTGAGTCCTGCACCCTTACCTTAAATCCGAAGGCTTGAGCCGCCTTATTCAAGGCCATGTTCAAACGAAAAAGATAGTCTTCCTCTGGGGGTCTGAATTGAAGTATCAGGAAACCCGAGCCACAAAAAGCGTCAAGGATCCGCACCAACCCTAAACCCAAATCCCTAGACCCGATACCCCAAACCCTTCACCCTAGACCCTGAATCCTAGACCCTAGACCAACTTAGAACTCCTACTCCCTGAAGAGGGATTAAGGCTTAAGGCTTTAAGGTTTAGGGTCTACCACCCTACTTGGAGGATCATGGGACTTAGTAAAGTGGGTTTGATAGGTAGCTCTGTAAAGTAGGGTACTTTCAAAACGTGTAGAGAACTACGCATGTGTACCTTGACTGGGGTTATAACGAACTGATGACTGTAGTTACCCTTTTGTATAACCCTAAACCCTAAACCCTAAACCCTAAACCCGAAACCCCAAAGTTCAGGGTTCAAACGGATGCCGCCTGCAGCGGCCCCGGGTCCACGAACGAAGCCGGGGCGCGCAGCCTTGGGCGCTTTGTTCGACGAAGAGCGTAAGGCTTTAGGGTTAGGGTTTAGGGTTTAGGGTTTAGGGTTTAGGGTTTAGGGTTTAGGGTTTAGGGTTTTCTCATGGGGTTCGAGTTTTAGGGTTCAGGGTTTAGAGTCCAGGGCGCGGTGTTTTGAGGCTTAGGGTTTAGGACTTTTAAATTAGCAGGAAAACTGGTCCCGAAATATGCTTTCGAGCAATAGGATTTTGGGCTCAAGGGTTGGGCCTTGGCCTTAAAGGGTTCAGGGTCCAGGCTCATCATGGCAGAAATCCTCCAAGCTCAAGAGCCCAGAACCAAAGGCAGCGCACACAACCCTTTTGCAACAGGCTTTCCAGACAACCCTAAACCCTTTTGAAACCGGACTTGATGACTGCCAGCATTGCCTCAGCTGCCGTTCTTCAACCGAGGCCCGAACATGTAAACACTAAACCCTGCACCCTCAGGTATTGCAGACCTGCCCTCGGCCCTTTTTCCCTTAGGCCCTGTCTTCCACGAACCTGGACTGCGGACTACAAATCCGAAAATGTTCAATTCAATCCCTAAGCCCCAAACCCGCAGAAACCCAAACCCTAAACCCCTAAACCCTAAACCCTCAAAATCTGTTCAGCCAAGCAGCAACCGGCGCAGGGCCCACACCAGGCCACGCCGCTTGCGTGGCCCAGGCCTGCTCGGCAGCAGTTTTTCGGCACAATACAAGTGTCTTCATACTGTAAAAAAATTGTGGGTTTAGGGTTTAGGTTTAGGGTTTAGGGTTTAGGGTTTAGGGCCATTAAACGGCTTCGCAAAAAGTGCGGGCGGTGTTCAACGGCTTTGTGAGAACTCTATGTAGGTGCCTGTTGTTCACTGCTGACCGTGCACGGTTGTCTCGGGTCCGAGTCATGATTAGAGAAGTCTTGTGATGCAGTATGGACACGGAAACGTACTTACATACAGAGTGTATAGACTGAGACGGGATGGGCATCCTATTTATGCAGACCTATAGTAGGGCGACATGTAAAGTCTGGTGTGTGCTCTTCAAGGTTTGAGGCTTCAGAGATCACGGTTTACCTGCACCCAGATGAACTCAGACCCGACTCGATCACTCATGACTCACGACGAAGGGTTGGGTTATTGGGGATGTAAGCTCTAGCGATGATCCACTCCAGCATTGCTGATATGCGGTTTCGCATGAGCACTGCCACGTGAATCCAAAGGGGGTTATCTCAGCTGCTCCTGCAGTGCCCTCACCCCTGGGCTTCATTGGGCTTCGTCGTTTAAAAGGAAGCATCCTCTGCGCCGGACTTGCGTTGTGACTCACAGGATTGGAAAGCATGATGGTGCAAGGGTTTGGGTTTTGACCAACGCCAGGGCAGCTCTTTCAAGCATGTTCTGGCCGGTTCTGCAACGCATCTGGAATGCTCTGTTGTTAGCCTGGCTTTCAACGAAACCCTGTGAGTATGCTAGCGGACTATGAGCCTCTTATAGGGCAGTGGCAAAGTGGCCATCAGCTTCCTACCCCAGCCCCGAAGAACGACAACCCACACCCAAAACCCCTAAAACCTGAAGCCTTTACAACCCAAACCCCCAAACCGAGAACCTGCTTACTTCGCAAATAAACCAGGGAAATAAAAGGTTAAACTTTCAGATTACTACCAAATGATCAGAACCCAAAAGGCTACAGGTTGGGTATTCGAGAACTAAGCCTATACTCCACGACTTTTGAACCGGAACCCTGAAACCCTTAAGCCCTTTTCGACGTTGATTTTGCATACTGGCCTACAGCCCTAGAACCTGTACGAAAACCATAAAACAATGACCCCTTTCTAAAACCACTGTACCGAATCCCCAAAACCCTATATTAACACCCAAAAACATATGTATCGTAATCCTAAAACTTCTATACCGGAGCCCTGGAACCCTAAACCATAAACCTTCTATACGGGAGCCCTTGAACCCCACACCCTCAGCCAGCAAAAGCCTGGCCTTCGGCGCCGCCTTGGCCGCCCAAGGAGACCTCATCCGTTCGCGGCTTCAAGGTCGCAAAGGGTTTGAGGGTTTTCCTGTTTTCGGTGTTTGGTTTAGAGTTTTTGCCCTCTCGCATGGCAGAGAACTATGCTCACGGGCGAGGTTGTTTAAAGAGCTTAGAGTTTAGAGTTTAAGCTTGTTTTTTCCAAGTGTTCACTGGCCACAAGGTTGCAAAGAGGGCTCCCAAGGAACCCCGATAAGGTCCATGTCTGGGGTTCAGAGGCACCAATCCTAAACCCTAAACCTTAAACACCACAACCCAAAATCCCAAACGCTCTAACTACTAAAAGCCCTCAAGGCCCCAGGTTTCGAGTTGCTGAGATTATGGATAGGGTTCAGGGCCTATAACTCGGTTTAGGGTTTAGGATTTAGGTTTTAGGGCCTATAACGGTGTTCAGGGGTTTCGGGTTCAGGCGATTTCGCAAGTCCCGATGCAAAACGGTTCAGAGCTTGTTCTGCCTGGCACATTACACTTTCTGTAAGGCTTTGGCTCTTTTGTTGCTGCTGCTGCACTCGCAGAGCAGTTGCTATGCTGCGTTGAACTTCATTACCTTCGCAGATTGTTGCTGTGAAAACGCCAAGCCAATACTGTGGCGATGATCGCCGAACGATGGTGAGAATCTGATGATGGTAAGCTGGCGATGATCATGGTCAGGATTGGGTGGTCAGAGTATCGCCATGGTGCTCAGCCGTGGCTAGCGGCTGGGTGAGCGGAGTAGGATTTAGGGACAGTGCGGCCCAGAAGCGGCTGATTCATCTGCTGCTGCGCCAAGACCGACAGCTTTAGCCGAATACTCTCCTGGGAAAACAGAGCCCTAAACCCTAAACTCTAATTCCTAAACCGCAGAGCACCAGGGAGTTCTAAACCCTAAGGCCGAAGGCCTACTGCGTTGGTCAGCAAGCTTTGCCTGGGGTTTTCGGGCTCATGTGGGGCAGAAAGCACGAGCTTCACAAAAGCTATCATATGGGGAGGGTCTTAATAATTAGAATGCTGCCTTGGGGGTCGATAATGCTACCATGATCCTGGTACTAAGGAACCCAACGGCACGATGTGAGCAAAAATCCGACTCCTATCTTATATTAGCAGGAATGTTTAATGTTGAAACTCCTGTACAAGGGTCTATTGTGGGTGGCAACTGCTTGGAACAGTTGATCGACATCCTCCTAAGGGGCCCCTTTGCGTAGAAGTCCGAATCATTTGCATCATGGTGATATCCCGCTATAGCCCCTAAACCAGTAGACCATATTGTACTCCAAAGATCTCCAAAGCCTATTCTATGTACTCAGGCCCCTGCACAGCATCCTTGCACAAGCCTTCTGCAACTCATAAAAACCCTCAACAAGCCTGAACAAAACCTTATAAGATCGTAGAAGTTGTCCCCAATTGCCTTAAAGATCCTTAAGGTAACCCGACAGTATAACCCTCCAATAAATCTGAGGGGACCCTTCGGATAATAAAGCCTACAACCCTAAACCCCCTAAACCCTACAACCCTAAACCCTAAAACCCTAAACCCTAAAACCTAAACCCTAAACCCCCTAAACCCTACAACCCTAAAACCCTAAAACCTAAAACCCTAAGCCCTAAACCCTAAAAGCCTAAAACCTAAACCCTAAACCCTAAACCCTAAAACCTAAAACCTAAAACCCTAAAACCCTAAAACCCTAGAAGCCTAAA